CCCCCATGCCGGCCCTCTCTGCTCCTGTGCCTGGCTGGTGCCAGAGGAGGGGTCCACGCACCCTCCAGCAGCCTGCTCCCACTAACTCCTCTGCTCCCTGGCTCTGCACTGCCCCAGGCCAGGCCCCAGCTCTCGCTCCTCCTCTAACACCCTCAGCTTGTCTACTCCGCCCAGCCTGTTAGCATCCCGGCTGCTGTTGAGAACACGGCTGAAAGGCTGAAACACGCTCCTCCCAAGCCTCTGCGTGCAGGGGCTCTTCTGCTTGCACTTCGCCTCCTCCAGGAGAGCAGCCAGGCTTGCTTCCTGCCTTCTCCCAGGCTCTGCCTAAACGACCTCTCCTCAGAGAAGCCTTTACCAACCTCCCTGACCAGAATGCATCCCCCCGCCGCCCCTGTCATTCTGCCTCTTGGTTTTGTGCCACTTTTTTTCACAGTCCAGTGCTGGAAACCCTAGTGTAGACTTCGTGTATTTGTTTTTTTAATGTTTATTTATTTTTGAGAGAGAGAGAGAGAGTGCGAGTTGGGGGAGGGTCAGAGAGAGAGAGAGAGAGAGAGAGGGAGACACAGAATCCGAAGCAGGCTCCAGCCTCTGAGCTGTCAGCACAGAGCCTGACACGGGGCTTGAACTCACGGACCGCGAGATCATGACCTGAGCCGAAGTCCGATGCTTAGCCGACTGAGCCACCCAGGCGCCCCCTTGTCTGTGTATTTGTTGGCCGTCTCCTCCACTCAACTGCAGGGTCCATGCAGGCAGCATTTCTGTCTTTGCCCCTTCACCACTGCATCTCCAGCACCCGGGACAGGGCCTGGCCCGTGGTAAGCGTTCAGTAAATATTTGTTGAAAGAATGAATGAATGCATGCATGAGTGGATGAATACCTGGTAGGACCATTGAAGTCCTTTGCAACCCTGTAATTGTGGGCCACGGCCCAGCAGTATAACTTCCCAGACTAGGTGAGATCCCTTTGTACGTGCTTCACAAACCTCATCGCAATGGTGATTATGTAGTTATTTTTGTTTGATTATCTGTTTGAGTGAGTCTGCCTCTGCAGAGAAGACTTCCTGCAGAATCCCCAGCACCCGCTGGGGGCCTGCCCCCCTGGTGACAGAAAGAAGGAGGAAGGAGGAAAAGGGAAGGAGGGAGAAAGAGATGGAAGAATCAGGGCTGGACTCAAGGGAGGGTGGCACTAATGACCTCTGGGGTCCCTGCCAGTCAGAGACTCCGTAGTTCTGTAAGGACCCAGCATTTGGGAGAGTTGCGCCTTTTGGAGGTCTGCGGAGGGTCTGATGCTCAGGGACAATTGCGTTCTCTCTTGCAGCCTGCCTGCAGCATCGGACCTGTGATGCCTGCGTGTCCTCGGACCTGACCTTCAACTGCAGCTGGTGCCACGTCCTCCAGAGGTTTGTGCCGGGCTGACCCTCTGGTTCCCCAGGAGGCCTTGGAGGAGGGGCAGAGGGTGGCACGGCCCCCTCCCTGCCTCGGGCCTCATTGCCAACATGAGAGCATCTCTAGCCAGCCCATTGTGCTCCGTAGCACAAGAATGTCACAGAAGTGAGTTTCTCCCCGAGGCCCGATCGAGATGACTGTGTGGCAGGGTCTCCGTGGTGACACTAGGTTTCTGGAAGATTATTCAGAGATTCTATCTACTGTAGCGCCTTCTTACACCCGGAAGGGTTGGTTCATCCTAGCGCAGGGCTTCCCAGAGAACGGTCCACAGATGTGAGGATCCCAGAATCAGCTAGGTCTCGTGTTGAACATGCAGGTTCCTGGAACCTGCCCCAGGCCCCCTGCGTCAGGATCTCTGGGAAAGAAGCCCAGAAACCTGCATATTAACACAGTGCCTCATCTGCAAACAAATGTGAGACCCGCCAGCTCCAAAGACCCATTGCCGTTGGATGAGGGTCCCGTGACCCCCCAAACACCGCCTTAAGATCTTTCTCGGGCCGTAATGGGGTTTCCTGAAAATCAGGGGTGTGGAAGTTGCAGGCATCCGTGGAAAGTTGGGGCAAGCTACAAAGCTGTGTTTGCTTGGTGTTGGAAACAGGGAAAATTCTGGGTGAGATTCAGGCTGAGGGATAAAGAGGGATAAATTTCTTAAATCCCCACTCATCTTCCACTCCTTGTTCTGAAATCATTTCCTCACAGATTAGACTCAGAACTCGAGCCCTGTTCTCCTGTCCAAGATAAATAAATAGCAGGAAGGGAAAACAAAACAAAACAAAACAAAACAAAACGATTTCTTTGGGGACCAGGGCTCTCATGAGAGTGGGAAGCCCTATGAAGCAATCTTGAAAGTTGCAAATTACAGTGTCTCTGAGTTCCAGGCAGCTGGCAAGCATCTGTCAGTGTTTCCTTTGCTCCTTTCAAATAGCCCAGGGCAGAAATAGGAGCTAAAAGGTGGCCTGCCCGGCACAGGACACAGCCCCGGGGGCCAAGGGGAGAGGGGTTTCCGGGTGTCCTTCCTACCTGGAGGTTGGGGTCCTCCTGGAGAATAGCTCTGCAGCACCATCCATCTTATGCACTCTTGAGTTTGAGAGCTACTGTCTCAGCGCCGAGAGATAATCCAGATGACCTCGGATGAGCCCCGGAATCCTGGGGCTGGCTGCCACCACATGACTCAGCGTCCAGCGAGAGCTGAGCCATAAGAACTTCAAAATGGGTCAGATGAAAGCAAAACCCTCCCATTGACACATCCCCATTTAACACATACGCCCAAACCCAGAGACCGTGACAGTTTAATGAGGGTTGGTCAGGTTAGGGGAGGGCAAGGCCTTGGGTGTGGACACCGCTTTTGCTGTGGTTATGTCAGCTATAGGACACAGAAGTTCCATCAGAGAGCAATCAAGGCTGACATGGTGCTGAAATCCTGTCCCCAGATGCCCATGGGTCTGGGCTCACCCCAGCGTGGGCCCCTCCTTGCCAGCTCTCTGGAGCCTCAGCACCAACTGAGAGCTGACTCCAGGTCTCTACAGAGCCAGAGGGCAGGGCTGGTGCAGAGGGGCCAGCCCCATGGACTCTCCCACCAACAGCTGCTTGCAGTCACCGTGTGGGTTCCCAGCTTCCCCTTCCTCGCCACCCACTCAGCCTTCTGCAGCCTCCCAGAGCTTCCCCTCCTTGCCCTGGGGCTGGATCTGATTTAGATCATTTCATTTACCAAGGCCAGTGTCTTCCTTTCAGTCCACATCGCCCCTCCCCCGCCCCAAGGGCCCACTCTGGAGTCTAAAATGACTTTAACTGCAGGATTTGGCCCGGGGAATGAGCAGTCATAATCCTTGCTTTACAGTGTCCTTGTGAGGGTCCCATGAAATACTACAGGAGCAGCATATGGCCGCGGCGGCACTTGGCATTCAGGAGGCACCCAATAGTGGCCATGCCTGATGTCCTTCTTCTCTGCATCTGGGTTGGTTGGCTCGGAGCTTAGAACGTGGTGCTCCTAGACCTATGTCAAAGGCTCAGTGCTTGGAAGAATCAATTAGTTTGGCTTAAAAGAAACTTTAGTTGCCAGCCCCCAATAGACCGCCTAGTCCTCAATGTCCCAAAGTAGTGGGCACAGAGGACCTGGGAGGGGTAGTGGGGGGGCTCAGTTCAGCTGTCCCTGCTGCAGGAGGGGCAGCTCGGAGCCCCAGGAGGCATCTTCAGAAGGAAAAACTGACCTCCGCCTCACTGGGTCCCTGGCAGATGGGTGGGCGGTTGCTAGTGGAGAAAATTAACTAGCGATGAATTCTTCCTCAGCACTGGTGGCTCATGATATGATTCTTCCCGTGCAGATGTTCCAGAGCTTGAGCAGGGCTTGGTGGATTCCCCTGGCACCAGAGTGAAGAATTTCCATTTGAGCACGGTGCCATGGAGAACATTTTCTGGTTCATCCGCATACGCCCATCCCTTCCCTAGGGAAGCACTTGGCACCTTCCAGCCCAGCTGAGCTGCACAGTGTCCTCTCCCGGGACGCTGGTCAGCTGGTTTTCGATCTCTCCTAGCTGCTGGCACGACCCTCCTTTCTGCCCTTTAGTGATCACACAGGAGGTATTGGCTAAATGTGCTGAAGTCCACCTTCAGCCCAGCTTCTCCTTGCCAAGTTTAGGCCCCTCCACAAAGAAAAAGGATTGTCTGTGAATGAGTGAAACTCTCCCCAGAAGACGTTGCTGTGAATTCCCTGAACTCTCAGCAATTTCATGGCCGCCTAGAGTCAAGGGGATCTTAGAGCTCATTTGAGGTCATACAATTCATCTAGCTCCCTATATGCACACATCTGGGCAGATGTGACCTTGGTCCTGGGGAGCTGGGTCAGGAGGAGAGTGGAGACGCCAGATACCTGCCCTTCCTTTTGGAGGAGTAGTTGGGGAAGAAGGGTCTGACTCCTGATCCCACAGCTGCCAGGTGCCAAGGAGGGCACCTGCCCGGTGGTCCGGATCACCGCAGCCCTGGGACGTTAGCCCCCTCCGCCCCGTCATCGGAGAGCTGCTACTGAACAGGAGAGAGTGAAGAGGAGGGCTTCTCTGGCAACCCCATCACACTTCTTACCTTCTGGTCCCCCGCAGGTGCTCCAGTGGTTTTGACCGCTACCGCCAGGAGTGGCTGGCCTACGGCTGTGCCCAGGAGGTGAGAGGCTTAAGTGAGCCAGGTTGTGGGGAGGGGCAGGGCTGCCAGCAGACCCGTTTCCCCCCCCCCCCCCCATAGCTCTTTGCAAGCCATCTTGGTTTCTTGGCAAAGAAATTCTCCCCTCCATCTGGGACTTGTCTCTCAGACTGCTCTGAGCCAGTTAGACCAGACTCGGGAGATTTTAGACGGTTCTGCGGGTCCCTGAGAAAAGCCCTTCTGGAAACTTGGCCTTGAGTGGGCAGCTCTCCGGGAGCTGTTTTGGTGCTTGCAAAGGGTATGCTGGGCATGGTGTTGGCCACAGCTGGATGGTCTGGGAGGCTGGTGACATTCTCGGAGCAGCTGCCCTGCCTCCAGCCCTCAGGCTCTTCAGGGAGTGAAGAGGAGTGTTCTGGGAGTGAGGAGGGGATTTCCTATTTGGAATCCCATACAGGTTCCTTCTCACTGCTCAAGTTTTCCAGAACGCCCTACGGCTTTGATTCTGGGCGGGGAGCATCCTGTTCTTACACCTTCCACCCACACAGACAGATCCATTCATCCGTGCATCCTTTTCCTCTTCCTTCCTCTCTCCATCCCGTCCTGCAGTATGAGCACACTGTGTGCGCCCAGCACTTCCCTGCAAGTGCCTATACCTGCTCGGATTGAAGCCCAACAGCTCCAGGAGCTGGGGGCCGGTGCCCCCTACTGCTCAGAGCAGAAAACTGAGGCATAGAGCGATGTAATGATTTGACCTGCCTCTCACAACTGGTGGGATAGTGAAAGTGCAAGGCCCCACATTTAGAAAAGAATTTTTTTTAAATGTTCATTTATTTTTGAGAGAGACAGAGTGCGAGTGGGGAGGGGCAGAGAGAGAGAGAGAGAGAGAGGGAGAAAGAGACAGAATCCGAAGCAGGCTCCAGGCTCCGAGCTGTCAGCACAGAGCCCAGTGCAGAGCTCCAACCCACGGACCGCGAGATCATGACCTGAGCCGAAGTCGGACGCTCAACCGACTGAGCCACCCAGGCACCCCAACA